AAGATTAATGATTTGCTCGATGCTGTTGCCTCCCTTTAGCTTCGTGCGAATCATGAGTTGAAACATTACACACGAATATCAACAATTATAATAATAATACATACAAAACCAAACAGTAATAATAATAATAATAATAAACAATCTTTTTAATGCGGCTGGTTTATGCTGTTTCTTTTTTGTTCTTTGATTTACGACTGAACTCGCTAATTAAAAACGAAGTAGGAATACAAAAATTTTACAACAACAGTAGAGAGAGTATCTCAAAATTGTAAACATCCTGTGTATACAAAATTTCTTTAACATTTTTTTTTGTTTAACCGTAAAAACGAGAAGATTCAGTTTTCGAAACGAACATACTTCTGATGTAATGCATTAATTTTATTAGAAGATCTACTACGTTAAATGGCATTGAAATCAAAATATCATCGTAAAATTTCATTTTTAATCGTTCATTAAACGTTGTCTTGAAGTAAAAACTAAAAAAATGCATAATATGTTAAATAGTTTACCTTCCAAAATTTACACTGCGTATGGTAAGACTTACGTTAATTGATTTGTTCGTCTCGCTATCGACAGTGCAATAAATTGATGAATTATTTTAAATGTTTCTAAAGAGTTGTAGGTACGAGAGATAATTACATATGTAGTTAAAATTGAGTTTATTAATTTAGCGCTTCCCCTACCGTAATATAATTTATTATTGCGATTGACATGTCAATTGCAAAATAAGTAGGCAGTCCTACTAATTATAAAAGAATTGCCACTTAATTATTTACTTGTCTCACCATTGTCCTCCAATTGTCAACCTTCTCATTAAATGTTTAATCGATTCTATGTTTTTTTGTTGTTTATCAACTGAAATTCGCTACGAGCATTTAGCCCAAATTACTAGTCGCTAACAATTGAATTTCTTTTGTTTTTTCTTTTTATTTTCTATGGGACGTATACGATTGCTATTATAATAACAAACGCCATCAATTATCACGGACATTTTTTTTGTTTAAATTACGCTTTTATAAATTCCTCACGCATCCAAACAAAAACAGACGCGTATGTTTAAATGTTCCATTGTCAACAAATTTATAATTTATTATTTAATTGAATTAAAAATGATTTTTCGTAGAGTATATAAAAAGGGTTTATAAAAAATACTCTTTAGTGCATTTGGAATTTTGACCCTTTTTAAGAATAACAAAAAGTAGATCATTTTATACAAATCTATGGTTAATTGAAAATTGCATAAATATTTTAAAAATAATCAAAATTTATTATCCCGTTGAACGTTTTATAACCTGTTTTAATTTACGTTAATTTAATTTCATAATGGCTTTGATAATTAATTGCTAATTATATCAACGAAATTTTTAAAATTTTGTGTAAAATATAAG